GAGGGAATGAATTAATAAATCGTGCGCACGGTTTACTTAAAATGAGGGAACGAATTATTAAATTGTGCGCACAATCTAGTAAATCGAGGTAACTAATTTTAAAATCGTGCCCACGATTAATTATTTTTTTCTTGCATGTCATGTGCGGGTCTCCGTAGATTTCCCATAGACATCTCTCCTTGAGGAAGAGATCAAATATTATCCATAATATTAATCAATAATTGTAAGAATATATTATAATGAATAATATTAGGAATTATAATATAGAACAATAAATGGATATTATTATTTTGGAATATTCATATTATTATAATATTTAGGGCTTAAAATATTTCATAGCTATATTTATAGTTATGTTTATATAATATTAATTTTATACTCTCACCTACTTGCATGCTGACATAGAGTATAGAGCTATAAAAATATTATTTCATATTTTAATTTGTAATTTGATGATTATTTTTTAATTTTATATTAATATGACTGGGCAATATTTAATTTCATACTGAACTCTCTGACTTATAATGTATATTAGTGTATATTATAATGTATAATAATTTATTGCTATGTACTCTTATTGTATGTCAAAAATTATCTCATTCTTTATTTTCTTAGTAATTTTAGGAGAATCATCTGAGACAAAGATGATAATTAAATGGAATATAACTTAAATGAAGTCTCATGCCTATGGAAGACAAGCTTCCGAACAATTAGTCTCAGCCTCAGACGTCACGCCTACGGACTGTTGGCTGAACGTCTGATGCATACGGCACACAAAATTGGAAACACTTCGGGAGTTTCGAAGTCGTCATCGGATTGGTTGAATTATACAGGATTTCCGGGAGACGTGCGTATCGCGTTCTTTAATGTTCCGCCTGGAAACAAATATGCCGTGACGCCAAATCCCCTCATGTTAAAAGAAAGCCGTCGTGTTTACAATTGTGATAATAAGCGCTTATCAGGATCAACTAAACGCTGGATTTTCAAAAATACGTCCAAGAGTTTTACACACAGTCTGTTATTGTGGGGACATTTCCACGCCCCTAAACATGACGCGGCACAAAACGAAACGTGATTGGTTGCTTTATCTGTCAGTCATATGGCCTCTTGGGTGGGCCTTGCCATTCAAAGCGGCCAAGGTTCCCAGACCTTCTGCCATGAGTCTGAAGGTCTGGCTATGTGAGACTACCGAACAACAAACGCACACAGTGCACATACATTATACAAGTTCACATAATATATTGTATAACACACACCCACAGTATCTTATCCACAATCGGTTACAAGATCAACAAACACATTTCAAACTCAATGCAAACAAACAAGCAAAATGTTGAGATTGATGTGGCACTCGCGAGTTTTAAGAGGGTGATGTTTATCAGCCCTTTGCTGGCCCTCTTCAACATAATGTTACATAAACAGTAAGAAAATAGAAGCCTGTAAGGCTCTGGACAATGTCCTGCCATTAAGAGAGAAAGAGAGAAAGACTGAGGCAAGATGATGGGTGAGGAATGATTGCTGATGGAGGAGAGGAAGAATGAGGAGGAGTTTATTGTGACAGATAAAACACAGGCATGATCCACATACTAAAATCTGTTGTAGAGGTCATTCTGTTGTTGTCAGGTTAATCAGAGGACTGTGTAGCAGCCCTCTTCAGGCCAGGCTGACTCCCTTTTTCTCTATCTCTGATAATTGATGCCATCTGGCCGGCCTGCCTGCCTGCCTGCCTGCCAATGGCAGCGTGACATCGCAGCAGTGCCACACCTTCCTCTCTGAAGCCTCCAGTGGTTCCGCTGTGCCACCCTCTCCTGGCACTGAACCCACGGGGTGTCAGAGGTGAACAGAGGCGTGTGAGGAGGAGGAGCAGGGGAGGAAACAGATCAGTCGACTTATGTTATATTACTGGTTCTGTCATGTATTTCAGTGGGATTGTTTATACAGTATTGAATTTTGTTTATATTCATTGAGTCGACTTTTTCAATTTTTTTTTTTTTTTTATTAAGATGCAGCTTGGGTCTACCATGGTCAATATTGTAATGGCAATACCATGGTATTATTTGTACTGTGTAATAATACCAAATACACTACCATTCAGAAATTTGGTTATTATACAGCAATGACAAATTCATCAAATGTAACAAATCTGATTATAATGTTACAAAAGATTTCTATTCCATATAAATTATCTTCTTATGAACTAAAGAATCCTGCTGTTTCCAGAAAAATATTAAGCAACATAACTGTATTCAACATGGATAATCAGAAATATTTCTTGAGAACCAAATCAGTATATTGATGACCCTACAGTATAAGGATCATGTGACACTGAAGACTGAAGTAATGACTACATTTAAATGGTAAAAATTCAGCTTTGTATCACGTAAATTACTTTTTAAAAATATATTATTATATTAATATATTAGATATATATTAAAATATATAAAATTATATATAAAAAATTAAAATAATCTTGCAAACCCACTACTTTTGAATAGTAATGCACATAGGAATACCATATTAATTCCATGGTTTTACCAGTTTTTTTTATTGATTTACAGTAAATATTGATTTACAGTCAAATCTCAATATTAGTGAAATTTGATGCAATTTCCCTCACCAAAACCTTCTATATTTTACCTTTTGCACCGGCGTATTGATTTTGATCTTTAATCTATAATTAGATTACAGGTTGAAATCTGCTTTTTAATGATCTTTTTGGCTACATTATTCTCTCGGTGACTGAAGTCATAAAAAAACAGTTGCATGTCACGCTGCAGAATACTTCACAAAGGAATTTCATGTCAACTGCTTTCATTCTTTTGGCTTTATAAATTCAGTCTTCTTGTGGAGCATTAGAAGAGGCAGTATAAAACGTTTAGATGTCTGTTGTAGTTTGAACTCTTGACTGCTGTGATTGTTTATTTTTATGGCTTAGCACCGTTTTGGTGCAATGAATCCGACCTCCCCTCCCTGCCTGTCCTTTCCCGTTCTTTCTTCCAGTGGCACTTTACAACTGTAGGCAGCAGGTCTCTCAACACATGGCCATGACCTTTTTATTTTTCTAACTCCCTCCCTACCTCCTCCTCTGGCCGTCCATCTCTCTGTTTTCCTCTGTGGCTCCTATGAGAGTTGGGTCGTGCTCCAGAGGAGGCTGCATCATAGCCTGTAGTTTATAAGTGCAATGGGAGAAGTGAACTAAGGACTGTTTTGGTATCTCAAGAGTCCCAGGCCTGGCCTCTCTGCCTCCAGATCCAGTATCACACGTCCTCTCGGGTCAGGCCTCCTGCGGCCCCGCCAACGCTGTTTGGCTCCCAGCAATGTGGCTTCAATTTCCTCCGTTTTGAAATGGTTATAGCCCCTCTGCTTCCTTCAGCAGGCAGGGTCTTTGCTTTGTTTTTTCTCTCTCACTCTTTCTCCTTTCTTGCTCATTTTGATCACTCTGTACTTTAATCACCTCTCGACCCCCCTGCTTTGTAAGAGTGCAAAGAATTTGTTATGAGTGACCTTTGACCTCTGGCCTGTAGGGACACAGTATAAAGGCTGCTCGGAAGAACAGCTCACTGGCAAAAAATACAAACAGTGAAATGCAGCCACCATAAATCTCCATAATCACCATAATTTTTTTAACAGTCTGGCAGTTCTTTTCTTGGTTTAAGCTCTTATAAGAATACCTTTCATAACCAGATCATTGTATTGAAAGTTTCTTTTCAACATTAAAGGCACACGCCGAACGATTGTTGACAACAGTCTTTGCCCAAACCCGAGGCTTATACATATGCTACGTGCCCAGTTTCATCTGAACCTCTTTTCTTTCATGTAATCCTACGGGTGTGTGAGCTAAAGTGTTCCAGCGCTCAGACACAGGCAGCTTGTGTAATAAAAAATCCCGCTTGCTGAAAAATTAGTCCCCTGACATAGTGAATTATGGGGCTGAAATAGAGCTCCTTATTAATGTAGTCCAGGATTCACGTCAGCGGAGGTCTCAAAAAGTATGCCATACAGTGGGTCTGGTCTAACAGGAGGTTTTGCATATTAGACTGAGTACACATTTTAAAGAACAAGTTATTAATTGAGCAAGAAACTTGGTCTACACAAGATTCAAATAGACAAACTGTGGTCCATTTTTATCAAAACGTGCTGCAGAAGGTTCTATGCTTAAAAATGAAACATTATCAAATTAATCTTTTCAACAGCAATGTTATTTTCTTCTTGCTTGTTTTTTAGCATGTACTACTGCATTTGATAACAGGCATAATAATATAGATAACCATATACCGTATGTCAAAAGAAGCTCAGAATAAGCAGATATTTAAACACATGACTGCCTGCTCTCTCTTGCTAAGTTAAATGCGTAGTGTGTGTTTTGAATTGATAGACTGTTTTATTCTAAGAAAAAGCTGGAATGTGTATGCCAGCATTCTTTACCGCTCTTGTGTATAGTGTGTGAAAAATGTTAGAGTTCTTTCTCTTCGTTAAGAGCCCCACGTCCTGTCTGTCAGTGACTGTGTGTTTTTGTTAGAGCATGGCGTGTTTTCTTTTTCTTGCTTCTTGCCAGAAACTACACACTCTGGTACATGGAGGGGAAGGAAAAGCACACTTATGTTTAGTCTACATAGCACTTAAGTCACTTTGTAGGGAGATTACCTTTTTCCTATTCTAATCTGCGGGTAGGATTTGTGATGTCACCATCCGTCAGTGTTCTTTTATTAGATCATTAAGAGTAGGGATGTGGAAAATTGCGCAACTTGGCTCCACTTAAACATTTGCACAGTGTTTTATTTGTCTATTGGCTTTTTACCTCATTCTCCTCCAGTTTTTCTTCTTTCTCTGTCCTTTGTTTATTGGTAGACATCTTTAGGCTGGCACAACAGTGTTCCCCAATGTTGTTGCCTGTGCTCCCCAATGTTGTTGTCTTTCCCCCTAAAAAGGGGAGGACAAGAACAGTTAAAAAGGAACTTTACTTGAACATGGTCTAATTGTGTTTCATTTCTGTTTTGCAGGCATCTGATGTAGGGTCAGAGAAGCTGTTCTCGCCTACTGCACCTAAAGGTAAGAGCATGAATATATATTGTGGGTGCTATGTAAGTGTTTCACGTGTCATTTTTCCTGCATTGGATGTTTTAGACGTGATTAAACTGGTAAACATAAACTGGTTTTGAAAACGAAGAAAGCCCAGGGTTGTCAGTTCAATATTCAAGTTAATTTAATAATACATACTGTAGCAAAACTCACGCAACTAAACACTTGTTTCTTTACTTTTTAATTCAAGGAAGCTCTCTTCTTGTTCAGGCAGCAGTTTGGCTGATAGGCTATGTTTTTGATGTTGAAGTTAATGTTTTCCCACCAAAGCCTGACAATATGCAATATGCTCCCAAAGGCCACTAGGAGCTCATTTTCAGATCCATACTCCATCCACAAGAGTAACATTCCTCTTGTCGGAATGGTGCTGTTCTCTTTTTCTCTTTTTTTTCATAAATGTTGAAGGGTTTTTGGCCTTGGGAGCCAAAGAGATATCCATATTTTCCAGGTTCCCTTCAAATGCTACATTTGTTAAGTTGCACATGTGTAGAAGTACCATATTGGCCCGAATATAAGACACTCGTTTTATGTGTTTTTGGCGCCACCTAGTGTTGTGGGTGTATTATTGACATGTCAAAGTCTAGACCCTGAATATAAGACGACCGCGTTTTTTTCAGATGTATTTCCAAGAAAAAAACATCGTCTTATATTCGGGTCAATACGGTACATAGTTCTAAATATAGTTGCAGCAAGTCGAGGGCCGTCAGCCTCATCAGAAGGGGTTGTTAATTTTGGGTGGGTGGGTTTACATCTCTAGACCTCAATGCCAGACAGCAAATCTCAGATGCACTGTAATCCTGCTAAAAGCCTGTTAAACTTCTATGAGATTGTAAAATGGTGAGATGGTGTTTCCTTGTATTTTTGACTTGTTTTCAAGTGGCTGCTTTTAATGCGGATCTGAGCTACTTTTTACTGTTTCCAGTAGTAGTAAAAGTCGGCCCTAGAAGTTTTTTTTAGTTGGTTCACATCCACGTTTTGTAGGGGAACTAAGTTGTGAAACAAATTCTGTTTGTTACACAGTGCAAAGGAGCTGTCTAGTTTAATGCCACACTTGTGATGTGGCATTAAAAAAAGCATGAATTCTTTGGAGAGCCTTTGACCCCTCTCTCTGAAAATGGAGAAAAGAGGAAGTAAGAAGAGACAAGTCGAGCTCAGAGGAAGAGTAAAACTTGTGACTGCTGTCGGGGTCCAAATTAAAGTCCTTTTTTTTGCAAGTCTGGTCTGTGGATGACTTCCAGACATAACCGTAGGAAAAGTCTTGTGCAACAGCTGACATGTTTAAAAGTAGATCAAAGCATATGGTTTGAGCTCTTCTGATGGCAACAGAAGAGCTTGTCGTTGCTGATATTACAGACACCCTAATCTATGTTTCAGCTGATGGCGAGAAAAACTGCATCTTTCTTAAAATCCTGCTAATGTGTGTCATGCAAACACACTCCCCAGGGATCACGGAGATGATACAGGGAAAGCAGAAAGTAGTAGGAAGTGCCGGATTAGGATTAGAAAAGTGTAAACCAAGAGTAGAAATATGTGGATTAAGTGATTTAGGACTGCAGGGAATAAACATTATCAGACTAGCAATTTGACGTCCAATCTGTAGAGATTACGGATTTTGTAAGGATGTGTGACCTTTGAAATCTATGATGTTTGACGATAGTTTCATTTCTGAGGTTGTAATCTTTGATATCCAGTTCCAGTTTAGATTTTGTAACATTGATATCCATGTAACGTAGTTCGTAGTCACGGGAAGAAGGAGGCGGGAACCGGCGAACACTCAAAGAAAACTTTAATAATAAAATAACCACAAAATAGCGCGACAGCCCCTCACGGACGACTGCCGCGCACAAACGAAACCAAAACACAAAATAAAATCCAGGCCTGGTCCTCTCTCGTCCAACACTGTAGTCACTCCTCCTTTATCCTTCCGGAGCTCCTCCGTGAGACTCGAGACCGGTGAGTGGGTGCAGGTGTCCCTCATTAGCAATCACTCCACCGGCCTCGCTCCGTTCCCACGGCTCTCGGCCCCGCCCCCACTCGTCACAACGAGTTTCACAATTTGAGTTGAATTACTGAAATAAATGAACTTTTCCACGACATTCTAATTTATTGAGATGCACCTGTATTCACAACGGTAAATTAAGAGTTTGGTTGGTCTCCTTCCAAATGCAGACCACATAAACCTATAACATGAATATCTGCTTTAAGTTGGAGATCAAAATTGGCAAGTATATGCTGAAAAACTTGAAAAGAAATTAATTATCAAAATTGTAAAAGTGTTAAAAAAGGCATTTTTTTTAAATTACTAAAACCTTAGTTTTCAAATAACAGATGTGGGTCTGTATGAAGTAAAAAGACAATAAAATGCAATAAAAGGTCATTTTTGACATGCTTTATTTTCAGTATTATGCAACTTTAGAAGTATAAATATTTGTATAGTAGACAACATCTATGACATCCATAGAGCTTTCTGTGGGTGATGTACAAAACTCAAAACCACATCTCTTATTGCACAGATCCTAAAAGACAATGATAAGCAGAATCATCTACATAAACACTGTTTTCACACATAGAGAGAGGAAAGAAAACTCCAGAAAA